AGTCCACCGTCCTCGTCGTCCCCCAGTCCACCGTCCCTGCCGTCCCCCAGTCCACCGTCCTCGCCGTCCCCCCCAGTCCACCGTCCTCGTTGTCCCCCCAGTCCACCGTCCTCACAGTCCCCAAGTCCCCCCGTCGTCCTCACCTGTTGGGTCTCTTGGACATCCTACGGGACCGGGCATCTGAAATGATATTACCACGATATTTACGGCAGTACTAAAAGCATTATTTAAAACATAATTTATAAAAATATTATTACATTAAAGATTGTGAATTCCGGCAAAATGTATGGTAATGAGATTATGTTTCACATTTTAGGAGGCAGTGTGAATATTAACGTTCATCATGCTATTCAGAATGATATTTACAATGATATTTAACACCGTGATCCCGATAATAGTTACAATAATTTTTACCAGCGTAATATTTCCTCGATATCTCACAGAGAAAACCTAAGCAAAAAGCACTTAAAAAATATTCCAGAATAAAATATTGAAGGAATTGATCGACTACAACATTAATTTAGATATGAATTTGTTTGATTAGTAGCTTCTTTGACGATATAAAGAAGCATATATGATATCAATTACTGAAAATTTTATTTTATTTGCGTTCCGTTCAATTTATTTTACTTAGTTAACGCACATTAAACATATTGGTAGTTGCGAATAATGTTAATTAGGACGAATAGATTAATACGAAGGAGGTAACGTGTACACGTGCGTGGTAACGTGTACACGTGCGTGGTAACGTGTACACGTGCGTGGTAACGTGTACACGTGCGCGGTAACGTGTACACGTGCGTGGTAACGTGTACACGTGCGTACCTGTTGAGACACGTTGTAGGGTGTGCGTGGGGGGGAGCGGTCTCCACCGTCGGGGAGCGGTCCCCGGTCGATTTGGTGGGGTAGGGGGAGGAATTTTTCTAAGTGCGGGGGTGAGGGTAGGATTTCTCGGTGGGAGGGGGGGAGGGATGGAGGGGTAGCATTCAACGGTTGGCTTAGGGTAGATCTTCGGTCGGAATGCAGGGTTGAGAAGATCATGACAACCTGGAGGTGCGTCATTATTGGGACCAGGGGTAGGAAGTGGGTCAGTAGTAGGACCAGGGGTAGGAAGTGGGTCGGTAGTAGGACCAGGGGTAGGAAGTGGGTCAGTAGTAGGACCAGAGGTAGGAAGTGGGTCATTATTTTGACCCGTGGTAGGAAGTGGGTCATTATTAGGACCCGGGGTAGGAAGTGGGTCATTATTAGGACCCGGGACACGAGGAGGGCTGCGCAAGTTTCTGAGAATCGGGGGAAGAATGAGAGGATGAAACTCATTTTGCGGTGGCTTAGCGGCCACAGCAACTGTGCGATGAGGTTGAAGGTTGGAACCTTCAGTGGGGTGAGACTGGGGGTTGTGAGCACCCGCTGGGTGAGGGTGGGGGTTGTAATCCCCCGCTGGGTGAGGGTGGGGGTTGCAACTTTCAGGGGGGTGAGGCTTGGGGATGTGTTCTTGATCGACGGAGGATTTCAGTTCCACCGAAGTGATGGCTTGGCTTTCCTTCGTGGACAGAACTTCGTGTGCGTGTTTCGTGAGACCCTTGAAGAAATTCGTGCATGAATTCCGTGAGCGCACGGACAGTTCGTGAAGACTACTAGCTTTCGTTATCTTGGTATTTTGAGTGCGTGGCAGTACTTCGCTCGATTTCTTATCATAATGATCGTTATCACTGATAATTCTCTTATCATCGCTATCAGTGTTATTACTCTTATGGTTAATTGTAGGTGATATATTATATTTTCTGATATCTGGAAGGGATCTTATGAGGGAGTTTCTTTTGCTATCGCTGCTCATAGTTTTCCTTCTTAGTGCTTGCAATATTTTAGCCATTTTTCCATCGTTTTTTGTGAATATTTCAGTCGGCAGGCCGCGGCGAAGCTCGCACTCCCCCTCCTCAGCCGAATTCACCTCGTCGCTCTCTGCGAAAAATTCATTTTGAGTTGAAAATTTGCTTTGAAATTTTGATCTATAGATTTTTCATGTGGATAGAGCTCATATATATTTCAGTGGTATTTCTGCCAGTGTTGTATTAGTAAACTTCTATGTACATGCGGTCGAATTAATTTAAAAATTCAAAATTTCTTCCCTAAATTTGGTGCGTCAAATTAGTTAGTGATATAACTGTTCTCTCTAATTCAGTTACCCTTCATTGTCACTGATTGCGTGCTAGACGCTAGCAATGCTGAGCTCTTTTTTTCGAAGACACCAGCGTTGGAAAAGTTCCACCCTGCACTTTTTAGTACGTAGTGACCTAGTAATCGCTGAGCATCTAGTGAGTAAGTACATAGGATCACTAGTCAGTTACCCCCTTTTGTATAGTACCAGTACCCGGTATCGGTAATCAGAGGCCCAGTAACCTCACCATCAAAAGAATCAGAAGCATCGGAAAAGCTCTCCCAGTCGTCATCACTGAAAACGCAGGGATATGTTAGATACACTAACACAACAGAACATGGACACAATATATGTACACTCAGAGACATGAGGAAACCTTGTCCAAATAGCTGTGTGTCATTTTGACCAGTTTCATCCGGAAAAGGTATTTATACCAAAAATATAGCTATTCCTGCGGCTAATTTTAAGCAACCGTGCTATCCATTCCTGATGTAGAGGCCAGAATTTGATTTTCTGTTCATATGATGAAAAGTACACGGTTGAGTGCCCCATCATGTATATTGCGTTTATTACATTGATATTGTAAGTATCTTGATATATCCGACACTTCAAATAATCTAATAATTTTATTTCAATAGTTTCACCGAACGAAATTATGATTATCTAATTCATCGAATGTTTCCCTGCTTCTGCTCTCTTTCCAAGAAAAAATTTGTATTATCTCATGTGTAGAAATAACATTATACTTGGTGCTTCGTTTCGTTCATTCGTGTTCTGATTTAAGCTCGACAACAAATAGGCCAAAAAAGTATTTATTGAGAAATTTTCATTATTTTTTAATCATGGATGAACAACTTGAAGATTAGTGGAAATTGGAAAAAAATAAACGGTAATGTTACGATGCTGCCGGGTGTGGATAACGAGGAAGAAGAATAGTACGTACAAAGTATATATAGGATGAAAACATGCACTTCTGAAAAACATTCGCCAATGGCGGTAAAATCATGTTTTGAGTTTCGTTATTCGATGTGATGTCGTGTGTTCAGACAATAGTTTCAACATATTAAATTTGTTTCCTTGTTAAGGGAAATGATGCGTTAAATGATTGTTTTTGCAGATTTAAAATATCTAAATCAAGTTACAGTAGATTGTTTGTTATAACTGAAAAGCAGCAGGTTAAGCAAGAGCTGCACGGAGGGCGTGACAAAATAACAAGATAAACCAGAAAATAATTTTTACACTCACCCCTCGTCTACACACTGAAGTAACAAGTGGCACTCACCCCTTGTCTGCACACTAACGTAACAAGTTACACTCACCTGTTGTAGTCGATATCACGTAGCAGGTTACAGTGAACATAGCCTTGTTCACCCGAAATGTTCCTGCAGTACACCCATGCGAGGTCGGTCTGCTCAGCCACAACCTGTAGCACGTCCCCCGTCCTAACCTGCAACACGTCATGCGCTTCGACCTTCACCATGACGCCTTCTTTGAACTTGGACATCTGATCCAATGTTGTTACCGGGTTAAGGATGGTTACCGGGTCTACCAGCGTTACAGGAGTAACGACCTGTTCTACCCTCGGCACTGGAGTAACCGTTTGGTCTAGCATCGGTAATGTAGAGGCCGCCACGTCCACCATCGTCACTGGAACAACCCCCTTTTCTACCATCGGTAATGGAGTAGCTAGGTCCGTCTCTTCGGAAGTTACTTCCTTGTCACCCATCGATAAATATTAAGGAAAGATGCACGTCTTGGCAAGGAAACGATAATGGAAACTGAAGTTTTGTTCTCAAAATTGGACTGAGCGACAAGTTTATCTAATAATCTGCAAATTACGGAAATATTTAAATTTCGTAACACTGATATTCTCGAGAGTGCAGAAAAATGGACCTAACTTGAGCATGCTCATGATGAGTCCTGTTCCTAGAGGCTCATGATGAGTCCTGCTCCTAGAGGCTCATGATGAGTCCTGCTCCTAGAGGCTCATGATGAGTCCTGCTCCTAGAGGCTTGCTCTTATATACCGTGTGTCCCAAAAAAACGATATTCAACTTTGAACGGCTGTAACTAAAAAAGTAATAGGGCTAAAAAAATTTGGAAGGCCAGGATTTGTTCCCCTATGTTTTTTTCCATCTCTCCACCAAAAATCAGACAGATCGATGTATCCATAAGCGTTTGATGGAACTTTCAGTGACATGTGCTAAAATCGTGCTTGCGTTAAGTTTTAGCAAGATCATTTTGCATAATCATTACGTTGTCTTCACATGTTTTCTTTTCGCTGTTTTATTTTTTGTATCTTTGTATCACCAAAAATTGCCATGATTGTCTCTCACCAAAGATAGCCATGTTTTGTCTCACCAAAGATACAAAAAATAAAACGGCTAAAAGAAAACATGTGAAGACAACGTAATGATTATGCAAAATGATCTTACTAAAACTTTGCGCAAGCACGATTTAGCACATGTCACTGAAAATTCTATCAAACGCTTATGGCTACATCGATCTGTGTGATTTTTGATAGAGTGATGGAGAAAAACATAGGGAACAAATCCTGACCTTCCAAATTTTTTAAAACTCTATTACTTTTCGAGTTACAGCCATTCATAGTTGAGTATATTTTTTTGGGACACCCGGCACAGAGGCTCATTCATTGCAGCACTCTGATTGTTTGTCTCACTCGTGTTTAGGAAACGCACGCGTAAGAAATTCTTCTATTCTTCGGAATCGTAAAATTTTCGCATTTAAATTTTATGTTTGAAAGATATATTCAGATAGAAAAACAATTAATTCTAATGCCCAAGTGTGCGTTAAATGAAAAACCCTTTTTAGCGCATTTTCTCTTTATAGAAAAAAATGCACTATTGTGCTCGCTATGTCCGTCTGCCCGTCCGTCTGTCTGTCCGTCTGTCTGTCCGTCTGTCTGTCCGTCAGTCTGTCCGTCTGCAACACAGTGTTTTCTTATCTTTATATAGCGGCGCGATATGCATTCGTCCGCTGATATCAATCGAGGGGATAACTTGTTGAATTTACCTTGCTACTTAACAATATTACACGTCTTACTATGATAACATCATACTTCGTCGTTCAGGTAGGAAGTGGGATTCTGGTTTCAAATTTTACTTTTGAATAATGAACTCTAAACTATCTGTATATATAGTGTAGCACCCCCGGCATGAAGTGATACTTCCTCACATTAAATAAGCCTGGAAAAATTTTAATCATTACAAGCTTTAGCCTTATTTCGTTTATAATTATAACACGACAGACTTTCTTAACAGTAATTTCTAAAGCTCGTCAGATTTGCATAAATACGAGTTACCAAACGCACTCATTTCAGAGCAAGTTATATCATGACTTTAAAATAAAAAGCTCCAAAATGATTTCATACGATATCGAAATCAAACAGCATAGATATAAATAATACATGCATTTGTGCAATTCCTAATCCCTGTAATGATATCAACGAATTTTAATTCACACCAGAATATCCGATGTTCGGGTCCTGAAAATGTTTTCGGATTACAACAATAGAAACAGCAAATTTCCTCGAAGTCCTTGAGTAACTAGGGCGTAAGATGATAGTTATTAAAAAATTTTGAACACCGAAATAATTTTCAGCCGCTTAATTCACGTCACCGTAAGTATCGCAATTACTCTAGATTTAAAGATGCAAAAATTGTTGTATAACCAATAAAGAGTTTAAAGCAAATTTCTTTGTAGGATGAGGAAGATCAGCAATCATGCAGTCGGATTGAAATTTCGCTCTGAGAACCTCACTTTGCACTGACGCCGGATCCGAGATGACTACACTGTTAGAAAAACTATCGTTAACGGCATAACCGGCGTTTCAGTGGCCGGTCGGCACGTGAAAAGAAACACCGTGTCGCCGTTTTTATTCTAATTTAACACTAGAAATCCGTAAAACATCGGATAAAAACAGCGAAGCCGTTTATTTTCACGGGGCGACCGGCCACTAGAACGCCAGTGGGACCGTTTTTTCACCGTTTTTTCTAACAGTGTACAAGCGTTTCTGTAGAGCATTTCAAGCATTTTTAAAAAACATTACAAGCCTTTGCCAATAGTATAAGGTTTACAGCGTCTGGCACGATCGATGAGACCGAGAGTGAGTGTTGCTATACTGTTCCACGAGCACACTACACCGTCCGAGGAAATATTATCCTGTAGTCTTTTTCCAGCGCTGGTCGTGAGGTTTGTCAGAAAATAAGGAAAGTTTCTGAGCTGATAAAAAGATTTAAAATTATACGGGTGAGCAATAAAACACGAAAGGTACCACTTGTACCGGTGTAAATAAGATGACAGTCTTTTTTACTTGCAATGATACGAGCTGTAATGCAAGGTTGAAATTGAACAGTCTCACTATGAAATAATCATTGATAAGAATGCAAATTATACAAATATTGTGCATACTAATACAAAGTTACAAGTTCATCAGTCTCACACTAACCCTTGACAAACAATCACTAGTGCAATGTTCAAATTTGCGCCCAATATGACAGCAACCACTTGCATTCAAAGGGCAACCCAAATCGTAGCCACATTCAACCAATTTTAGTTTTAAAATTTGTACCTTCAATATGTACCTTTAATTCAAGATAATAACGCTCGCATGTCAAATCGTTCACTGAAGTTCAACTCACTGATTGTTTCTTAGGTGCCGTTCAAATAGACCAGAGTGCTTTGTTATCGCGCTCAAGTTCGAAGCGGTCCTATGAATAGTTAATATACAAACGAAATTGATATTTGCAAGTGTTAAGAATTGCAAGTTACCGTCGCCATAGTGTTTCGACAGAACCCGTGTGCGGTGGACGCTTGTGCTCATATTTCCTACAGTTCGGTACTACATAAGATAAAATAAAAGATAAAGATAAAACATAAGGTAGGTATTTTATCGACGCATATTAAATTTTTTGCTTGTATTACTGAATTTTAACAGCATAAAAATCGGGTAATTTAACTAGCCGCTCAAAGAAAAGTGGTGTGGACGCGAAAGATCTCTTCGGTGGATCAGTGGTGAGCCAAGTTCGTAAGGCAATAGGGAATTAAATCGAAAAAATGAGAAGGGTTAACTGATGAAGATCAAACGAAATTGATATTTGCAAGTGTTAAGAACTGCAAGTTGCTGTCGCCATAGTATTTCGACAGAACCCGTGTGCGGTGGACGCTTGTGCTCATATTTCCTACAGTTCGGTACTACATAAGATAAAATAAAAGATAAAGATAAAACATAAGGTAGGTATTTTATCGACGCATATTAAATTTTTTGCTTGTATTACTGAATTTTAACAGCATAAAAATCGGGTAATTTAACTAGCCGCTCAAAGAAAAGTGGTGTGGACGCGAAAGATCTCTTCGGTGGATCAGTGGTGAGCCAAGTTCGTAAGGCAATAGGGAATTAAATCGAAAAAATGAGAAGGGTTAACTGATGAAGAAAATAAAGGCATTTGACCGTGTGATCGAATTTTTACGTTTGAAGGCAAGGAATTTATCAGGAGGAATGGGATTCATTGGTAGGAACGGGATTCATCATGAGGAACGGGATTTATTGCTAAGAACGATATTTATCAGGCAGATAGGGATTATTCACGAGGAACGGAATTTATCCGAGGGAACGAAATTTATTAGGAAAATCAGATTCATCAAGAGGCACAAAATTTATGAACAGGAAATGCATTTTTCAGGAGGAACGAAAGTTTTCATGCGGCAAGAAATCAATTTTTTTAGGAGGACCTGAATTTGTCGAGCGTACAACTTACGGTCATCGCATAACTAACAGGCACCGTATTACATACGGCCATGGTATAATTTATGGCCATCGTACAACTTACAGCCACCGTATAACTTACGGCCACCGTATAAAATACGACCATCGTATAACTTATAAGCACCGCATAACTTAATTATGGCCACCGTATATCTTTTAGCTAACGTATTATTTACGTCTTTGGAACACCAAAGTACTCGTAAACGAATAACATCACGTTAAATTGTTAAATTTATTTTATGTGTGTAAGGTTGCGTGTTGACGTATTGATTGAAGCCTGCACTCTTTAAATATTCAAGGGTAATCCGAACACGTACCCACAATACATTTCGTGTGTAAGATTTCAATGCGACAAATTTTGATTAAAACTTGTCCGTGTTTTTTGCACGCGGAAATTTGGTCACCGACCGATAGAAATTTCGCTTCACCAATTTGCAGTCCCTAGAAATAAAAATTATGTCGTCCTGCATAAAACGGAAGCACAGCCGTTGGCCACATTTTAAAATTTTAACCTAGCCCTGTAGCCAACGCTCAGCAAAACATGCACAGCTAGAATTAGCGTCAGAGCTACGAAGCCTCACCGATTCTGCGACGGCGTAAATGCCACAGCGCCGTAGGTCTACAGTCTCTTCTCAAGTCAGCCTTGTTTCATTAGATACGCAGCTCTAGCATGGCCCTGCCTCCTCACTTGCCCCCGCTACTCTACCTTGCGGCAGCCAATGTGGTAAGGTTAGGTCCGTTTAGGTTTCTTTGTGGAAAGTCGGGGTAAGGGTGGAGGTAGGCTCATGTTGGGCTTTCACGCCTATGCGCCCATGAAGATGAGACTAATTTGAATTAACAGTGGTTGTGGACTTACGAAGTTATGGCTTTAAACGATTTATTTCATTGACTACTTATAAGTAATCTAGCATGATGGACCACGGATAGGACTATGAACTTAAGTGTGTAGTTGGGACTTGCTAGACTCTAGCTGTCTAGCACGTACCCCGACATATCTGCACGACAATCGCCTATGTATTGAGTTCTGTGCGAGAAGAAAATATCACGCTCAAGGATTGTCTTAATATACGGGCATTTGAGTTTCCATTGATAAATTTTCATTACATCATTAAAATTTAGCATCGCTGAGTCAAAAAGCCTTTATTTTGTGTATACGTCATCTGCAATGATTTCCGTTTTGCTGTAGGAGAATCGTATAGCAATACAGGTAATATAGAACGAAAAGAAGTTCTATTTTGAAGCTCACTTCGGTAGAAGTGGGGATCTTGAAATATCTGCAATTTTTAAGCCCAAACCACACTGATATAACATTTTTAGTACATAAATTTGGACAGCATTGATAATATGACAGACTCATATCGCATTTAAATATTGCGAGCTTATTCGTATCATGAACGCTGATGAATCTCAATGCAACATCGAAAATATCTATACCCCCAATGCCTATCTTCTAAAACCTAAAACTATACAATGAAAAATTTGATGACTATAAAAATTATTTTAATAGGGCGGTAATATTTAATGCATGTGCAAAATTATGCCCATTATAATCATAGTATGCTATAGTGGAAAGGCATGCCTCCTAAATTTCTTAGAAAAGTACGCAGCAATTTGAGGCTTCTAATCGGTCATTAATTCGTTCATGTTACAGTGTCCATGACCTGTCTTATTACTTCCACGGCTAAGCCCAGTATTTAAGCGCCCGGAAACATTTACCAACGTTTTCGACATGGCATGGAACGATGATGGTCGTTGAACTACCAGTGGCATTAAAGTGCCCGGAAAAACTGACCTATCACCCTCTCCCTTACGTAGTCGCCACTACCAGGATGGGCAATTACAACAACAACAACTTGGCGTCACGCGCACCAACTACCATTATTGCACTGGGCATGCTTCAGATATTATGTCATAAGTCGGCTTATATCGCAAGGTCATCACTAATTTAAAGTAAACAAAACGCTTAGTAAATCTATTACATCTACATCGAAAACGAAGCTCTATCGTAGAACAACCCTAGTAACAATTTTTGAAGGGGCCCATGTTGGCCCAAGGTGTCGTAACAATATTGGCCACATGTGAAAGTGACATATAGCAGCCTCATGGTTTTTGTGAAAATTCTGCCCAGCTAGGCAATGTTGAAATCACACGATTTCTACATAGAGCCAACATAGNATTTATGAACAGGAAATAAATTTTTCAGTAGGAACGAAAGTTTTCATGCGGCAAGAAATGATTTTTTTTAGAAGGACCTGAATTTGTCGATCGCACAACTTACGGTCAACGCATAACTAACAGGCACCGTATTACATACGGCCATGGTATAATTTATGTCCACCGTATGATTTACGGCCACAGTGTAACTTGCAGCCACCGTATAACTTACGCCCACCATAAAACTTACGGCCACCGTATAAATTATACTTATAATTTATACGGTGGCCGTAATCGTATAACTTATATGCACCGCATCACTTAATATAGCCAACGTATAATTTACTTCTTTGGAACATCAAAGTCCTCGTATACGAACATTATCAAGTTGTATTTATTTTAAATATGTATAGGTTGCGTGTCGATGTATTGATTGAAGCCTGCACCCTTTAAATATTTAAGGGTAATCCAAACACGTACCGACAATTAATACATTTCGCATGTATTTCGTATCCATTATAATCATAGTATATTTACGAAAGGCATGCCTCTTCAATTACTTTGAAAATAACGCAGCAATTTGAGGCTTTTATCCAGTCATTAATTCATTCTTGTTACGGTGTCCATGGCGGTCCGTATCACTTTCACGGCTAAGCCCAATATTTAGGCGTCCGAAAATATTTACAACCATTTTCGACATGGCGTCAAGCGCACCAACTATCATTATTGCCATTCGGCATGTTTCAGATATTATGTCATAAGTCGGATTATATCGCAAGGTCATCACTAATTTAAAGTAAACACAATGCTAAGTAAATTTATTATATCTAGGTCGAAAACGTTTCGGAGACCAGCTCCATCGTAGCCCAATTTATTTATTGAGCTACGGAGACCAGCTTATGGAGTACAGGCACAATCGATACACAAAAGTCAAGTTTACACAATTTTTATTTCACAATTTTGTGGAATATTACCTATGAATTTGACTTACTGCATTCATTGCACTTGCATATTCTAAATTCAAGGAAAGAAGTTGGAGCTGATTTTAGTCTTTGTGTCTTCTTTGCAGTTCAATTTTAGCTGTCATACGTTAACATAACTCAAATTATAGTGCAACAGCGTGCCTTTTCTGCCTTCTATGACATTATTAGTAAAATGTTTGATAAATAAAAATTTGAAATGTCATCAGTTGCTGCGATGAAGAGGGCTGCGTATGGAAAGATCTTGGCCACGACGTGCCTAATCGCTATGTGCTTTGGTGGCGCTGGAGGTGTCATGCTGGGCTCGGTACTTGCCTACAAAGTGGAACTCCAGGCCTCGGACCTAGCAGGGTACGTGGTCAACACCACGTATCCTAACATGACGATCGTCAGGTGTGCCGCGGTGGCCTCACGTCAAGAAAATTCTACGTTTTGTCTGACGACTTCGCGAGATTGCATCGTAACCAACGCCTCCATCACGCCCTACTACAACAACAGCGACGGCAACGGCTACCACCGCTGCTACACTACCTCCAAGCCGCTCTTCGATAAAGGTGGGTGATCAAAACTCTACTACACCTCACTACAACATCAGCGACGGCAACGGTTACCACCGCTGCTACACTACCTCCAAACCACTCTTCGATAAAGGTGAGTGATCAAAACTCTACTACACCTCACTACACCACTGCGGCGGTAACGGCTTCCACCGCTGCTACACTACCTCCAAGTAATGTTGGCCCAATATGTTGAAACCGTAATGCCACCTCATATCCACATTGTCGCATGGGCCCCTCATGGGCCCATTGTAGAATTGTTGCTAGGGAATACCAGCTCTATCGTAGAACAATTTATTGAATACCAGCTACGTGACCCGCTTATTGAGTACATGTACAATCGATACACAAAAGTTAAGTTTACAAAAAAGAGATTTTAACTTAAGTTCCGAAAAAAATGAACTCAGGAGCATCAAAACCTATGGCTAAACAATTTTAAGTAGATAAGAACTATATATACGCGTTATTAAAAGGCAAGGTTCTCTTATTATAATAAGCGAGATTCTAAAATCCTTTAATCCAAGTACTAGAAGATTATCATCTCTGGTATAATTAATGTACAAAGATGATATTCCTGCACGGTTGCGGCCTTCGCTGGCTGACGAATACAGTTGTGCGTGGGGCGCAACAGCGTACGCTGGAATAGAGTAGGCAACTTTCCCATTAGGGTTACCAAAGGCCGCGGCTAAGTCATCGTTCCTAATTGCCTCATTTCCCATCCGTCCCACTATGCTTTGAACCTCCAAGCTGAGCAGTGCGACGTGACTGTGTCAGTGAGCGATTTCAAGATCCTTGGTGCCAGCTCTGGGGGTTTGGACTTGAGGATTTTAGAATTTCACCTATTTTGGATGGAAATCATGCCTTAATATGGCTCACAGTTCTTTCGATAAAGGTGAGTGATCAAAATTCTACTACACCTCACTCCACCAACTGCGACGGCAACTGCGACCACCTTTGCTATACTACCTCCAAGCCGCTTTTCGATGAAGGTGAGTGATCAAAACTCTACCACACCTCACAAAAACTACAGCGACGTCAACGGCTACCGTTGCTCCCAAAACTATTTTCCTATTAAAGTTGAATGTAATAGGCCTACATCACAACCACAGTACACACTTCGATAAGAAGGTGACGACAGTTCAGGTCCCTCAACCACCAGCTGCAGCAACGTTTTGATATAATACCTGAATATTGGTTTAAGAACGTGAGTTCTTAAACCAAGAACACATCTTAAGAACGTGAGTAACAGATGTATGGATGTGAGCAGATTTTGAATCTGACTGAAAATTGTTGGTTGCTGACAATGAAATATATGAGTTCACTTAATGTCAAAATCAAACTTGGAATTTTCTGTGGCCGCAGCTGCTGCGCTGCTGGACTGCTCAATGAACGGCAACTGTTGCCCCCAACCCTTTCTCAACGTGACGAACGTGGGCTGCGTGTACAGCCCCAGCTTCTGGTGGTTCCCCGTCCTGTCGCATGGCCTCGCCCGCAAAATGTGCCAGAGCATGTGGCCCACTGGGGACCTCTACATCAAGCCCACCAACTACCCCGCCCTCGTATCCTACCTCCAGTCCAAGGGTGAGCTCATACCGTCGTCCAGCCGTTATTCGCGCTCTAAGTTCATTTTGAATTTTAATTTCCCACCACAGCAGAATATCTTGCACTTCTAATAAATCTCGGAATATGTGCTGTAATTAAAAATTAACTTTCGTATCAGCTTCCTTTCAGCTTTGCAAAACGGCTCATTTTGAGAACTCACGAGCCAAATTAAGGCTTGGTTGACCGGCATATATCAATGCGAGCTGGGACTTCTGTACTTCTGAGGCTAAACAAACGGAGGCCAAACAAACGCTTATATTTTCTGAGGCCAAACAAACGCTTATATTTTCTGAGGCCAAACAAACGCTTATATTTTTCATTTCCAACACCAATTGATTTTCTTATTCTTAATATGCGGGTTTTAGGACTTGTTGCCCTCAGTATCCTCTAACAACCTGTCTACTTTGTGTTGGTGGCTTGCCTTATGAGGACCTAACACTTAGACGAGTGCGTAGGTTAGGATTTTTAGTTAGCAAAATATAAGGTGCGAATAGTTTGATACATTAATTGCCAATGAGTATTATTGGTTTTAAGTTAGAATATTTTACTATTTAACAAAACTTCTTTGACGATGTAAATTTATTCCCTGCCTGTTAACTGTCACTCCAGTCTGTCAGCTGTAATTATCACAGTTGCCCATAATGCAAGCTGAACTATTTCAATACTTAATGCATCATTTAGTAATATTGGTTCTCATGAATTGTTTTTCATTCACTTGATTTCAAACAAACGTTTATTTATATATATTTATGGTTTATTTAATTCCTATATAATTGTGGATATCGCATTAATTTGTAACATGCCTAAATATCTTGGATTTTGTCCCGTTAACTATTGCCTTCATTTCTTTGACGTGATCATCACTAAATTGAACTTATTATTGCTGCATGCTATTTATTTTTATGAAGGATACTATTTTATGCATTCAACATTTCATGGCCTGTTTATTGATAAGGTTTATTATTTTTTTTACAGTTACTGCTTACCCCTCTCATGCTCATTTTAATACTTCTTAATTCCTACTCTAAAACACATCTGTATATTTAAATCTTTAAAATTCATTCTTCAACTTTGTCTACAGTGTAACCCCTCAGCTGCCAACGGACAACCCATAATCCTGTGTACTTTATATTCACCTCTGTTTTATTCTTTCATTAAACCAATTAAAAAATTTACAACACGGTTGCTAGAGCCACAAAGTGGGTCCTTCTTACTCGCCCGCTTCCACAGCCGGGCAACAATTTTCCTGTTAAGGAATAAATTCAAGACCGTCGTCAGTTTAATTTTATCAATTTCAAATGAAGCTTTTCGAGAAGAAGGACTAGTAGAATTGAAATAATTGAATTCAACAACGTTTCGTAGAATATACGATGATAATTAGTAGCTTGGGTAGGTCTACTTTGAAATGAAAAACCAAAAATTGCACAGAAACCGCAAGGGAAAGAAAATTTCTCACGATAGATGCCAGTCACTGGAATTTGTCCTCTTGAAATAGAAAGTTGGTTTTGACGAGTGTTTTATGAAAGCGTATTATTCAGAAGTCTATTATTCAGTAGTGTAACTACTATGAATTTTTGTGGAGTTTTCTTTGCTTATAAGTTTTTTGTGAATTTGCGATTCAAGCAAACGAGTGACATTATTCCTCATATATCATTAAATAATAGTTAATAGGAGCGTGATGCTGAGTAGTAGTAGTAGAAGTAGTTTTTACACAACGAGTTTGAACAATTGTATTTTGTAGAGCAGTGCCTATAGCCCTCCTCAACAAATCGGATCTATTGTAAAACATGAATGATCGAATAAACCCTGAAAAATAATCCTAAACCTTCAAGGTCAAAAAACTCAAAACGGTAAAGCTGCTATTTTTGAAATTTGATAACTGACGGTAGATTTAAATTTTAACTATTCTCTAACATAACAAAGTTAGAACTGTGGTTTAAAATTTTGCTATGAAGAATTTTTTTCACGATTTCGATGGCAAATTTTCTCGATTAAATTAGCAACATTGTTACTCACACTTAATGAAAGCAACGATTCCCGAAACTTCATCCGTAACACGATCAAATTGCTTCGTTTTCAAACGCCCTTCTACATTATTCCTCATTTATTCTCTGAATCTCTTTTTGATACATTTACTCTCTGATTCTCTTTCTAATTTAAAAAGTTTTACTGACCAAGCAACTATACACCGTCTCAGGTCAGTCGGACGTGTGGGTGGGGGCTACCCGCATCGGTACCACAAACGCTTTCCAGTGGAGTGACGGCAGCACAGTGGTAGCTTCGGACTACGGAGTTTTCCAAACGCTTATTCCTTACATGCCACCAATCCTGTTCCCGCAGCCCGACAAGCAAGGTTTTCCTCCACGCCCCTTTGGCACGGCCGACTGTCTCCTCGTGTACACAAACCAAAATGTAAACAAACTCGGCGACGAGTTTTGTGACATGTTGAAGCCTTACCTTTGCCAAATACCCTAGGTACTCTCGTAGAACTGGAAGAATTCATTTCCATTGACGAAAGGCATAGCAGTTTTACAGACTCTGACATTCATACGTCACGAGTATGTTTGAATAATGTTTCCAAAGTCTGTAAAGCTTACACGTCGCATTTTTTAATCCGTCGAGAAATATCAATTATTCATCCGCTTAATTCAGAAACTGAGTAGTAATGGTAAAATCATTTATAATAATATATTTGGAAAGAAACATTTAACAAATTTCATGTTATCAAGGATAACTGCATGCTTAATGAAATATGACAAAAGTTAAAAATTCTTATATAATTCATGCAAATTAGAAGTGAACATTAATATTGACTGCAAGTTTCGCTGTTAAATAAATTCTATGAAAGATTGGCATTAAAATTACCGTGGTAAGATGTCAAATTACTAAAGGAATAGAACATGAGACTATGTGGCTCACGAATCAGTTTCAGCTTTCTTACTAAGCACCTTAAATTCATGAGTGATGTATGCGCGATACGTTGATTTCTTATACACAATCTTTATCATAAGTAATGAATTCAAATTATAGCAGTTATACCATTTTTGTTCATGGTGATGTCGTAAAATTATCCCTTGCTACATCATATTCTTTGTCTATGTGTGTGAAGCAATTTCGATATAATTAGATGTTAATGTGTTCAAGATATATCTCCTTTCTGTCAATCCGCGTACATTATTAATCGTTAATACCAAGACCGGCACATTATTCAGGTGTGAATAGAATATATATTCAGTCCAAAGGACATCTCCCTTAATTCATAATTTTCATAACAGGCTGCGCATACTATAACCACTGAATATACAGCATATACATTACTGTTTGTACGAAGCTGACAATAGGATAGCAGAGCATCAAGGAAAGAGTCACCGTACGGAAAATATACTCTCTCATCAACCACATTCAGTCGTGAGTGAGCATTCCGAATCCGGGTATATATATCGGTGATCGATAGAATTGCATTTCCAATTTTTTCCGTATATCTTGAGGAATTTCGTGGCCCTATATATATTTAAACTGAAACTCAATGCAACTTGTACCTTAAACAATCCTACTAAAAATTTTGTTGTGTAGATTTACTTTGCTGAAATTAATATTAGATGGCAGAATTTATTTGTTTACATTTATTTTGCTATAAATTTAATTGTTTGCTACACTTGGTCTATTGTACAATCATTTGTGACTTGTCTGCTGGGTTGTCATCGGCATTAAGATTTCTTAACTTTAACCTTTTTTCTGTGGATTCTCGTTTACTTGTTGTTTTCGACTGTACCCAGTTTTGTATTGTTATTTAATTAATTTTTAGTGCGAGGCTTTTAACAGTATTGATCCCTACCTGGTTTATTAGGAGTGATTAGTGTCAGCGACTCCGCTCTCTGATCATAATACTGTCATTGTTAATTATAATTATATATGTTGCCTGCGAAGATTATTAACTTATAATGTTACCCACTATGATTTTTTTTGTAATCACGTTTTCTAGTGTTATTTTTCGTGGCTATGTACTCCTATATGAGTCAAGAATAAATAATTACCACCTTCATATGTTGACATGAGTGAGCCCTTGAGTGTTTAGTTGTATTTAAGATGATAAAGTACTAAATCCTCTCAAAATTAACAAATTCTTGCAAAATTGATTAACCCTTGCATAATTAATAAATCCTTGCAAAATTAATAAATTCTTGCAAAATAATAAGTACTGACAAAATTAATAAATCCTTGCAGATTTAATAAATTATTTCAAAATTAATAAATCCATGCAGGATTAATGATTCCTTACAAAATTATTGAATCCTTGAACAATAATAACTCTTTGCATAAATAAAAAATTATTGCAAACTTAGCAAATTATTTATATATTATTAAATCCTTGCGTAATTAATAAATCCTTGCATAATTAAAAAATCATTACAAAACTAATACATACCTTCAAAATTAAAAAAATCCTTACAAAATTAATGCATGTTCAAATGAATAATAAATCCATGCCAAATTAATAAATCTTCACATATATATTAAATCCTTGCACAATTAAGCAATCTTTGCAAAATTAGGCAATCCTTGTAAAATTAATAAACTCTTGCAAAATAATTGTATTATATCCAAAATTATTATATCCTTGCAAAATTAATAATAATTTGCAAAATTAATCAATCCTTGTAAAATTAATAAATCCTTGCATAGTTAATATAAGCTTGTATGATTAATGTATCCTTGCAAAATTAGTAAATCCTTGCATAATTAATAAATCCTTGCAAAATTAAGAAATCCTCGCATAATTAAGAAATCCTTGCAAAATGAATATAATCTCGAAAAATTGATACATATTTGCAAAGGTAATAGATACGTGCAAAAGTAATAAATGCTTGCAAGATAACAAATCCTTGCATTATTAATAAATCCTGGTGAAATTAATTAATCCCAGCAAAATTAATAAATCCTTGCAAAGTTGATAAATCCTTGCCTAATTAATAAATTCTTGCAAAATTAACAAATCATTGCAAATTTAATATATCATTGCAGAATAAATAAATTGCATCAATAATAATTCATTGCAAAAATGATAATTCCTAGTAAAATTAATAAATTATTGCAAAATAAGTGAATCCTTGCTAAACTAATAAATCCTTAGAAAATCAATGATTCCTTGCAGAATTAATAAATTTTTGCAAAATTACCAATTTATGCAAATTTAATAAATTCTTACTAAATAAATAAATTTTTGCACAATTAATAAATTCTTGCACAATTAATAAATTCTTGCATATTAATAAATCCTTGAAAAGTGAATAAATCCTTGCCAAGATAATAAATTCTTGCAAAATTAATAAATCCTAGCAAAGTTAATAAATTCATGCAAAATTAATAAATACTTAAAAAGTTAATGATTCATTGCAAAATTAATACACCCTTCATATTTAATAAATCCCTGCGAAATTAACAAATCCTTGCGAAGGGCACAAACTAAAACAAACGCAGCTTCGCCTGCAACACTTTTGGGGTATCTGAGGTGTTTGAATTAGCCAATCAAAAATTGGAATTACCGATGGCTTAGCGGCCTTAGCCAATCATTAATATGGTGTGATTGCATTCTTTGAAGCCATCAATTATTTAGGAGAGCGTACGCACCTTATAATTTCTTTGAACTTTTCCTCTGTTCAGGTTATTTTTTTGACGTAAGCTTCACTACGATGCCAAAAGTAGCAAACATGTTTTACAATACATTAAATAACACCTCTGGAAAATGAAACGAACATCTGCAAACAGGAATCTTCCGTATAGTAAAATCAGTGAAGAACAATGCTACATCGAGTGCTACAATGCTACTTCTCGAGTCAAGCCCTTGCTGTGATGGGTTGCGACACATGCAAGTGTAATACAGCTTTAAGAATGAATTTTAGACTTATTATATGCATATGACTAACACGGAAAGATCTGCGAGCCTAAAAGCGTTCTTTCTTTGAATACTAACATCGCGTAAAATTGTTCCTGTGAATTAACATCAAGCGTGATATAAGTAATTATCCAGCTCGTTCCATTTCTCCGAAACATGCTTTAAAAAAAAATAAAAATTTTTAGGTATCTAGAAATAAGCGTTGGTCAGTCGGTGCCATCAAGGCTTCAGCTTCTTCCCTCAAGGTAACAAATGAAGTAATGCTGTGGACTGCAGAACTCTTCCCTTTCTTATCAGAGACACCCTAAAACGCTTGTTAGACACCTGAATTAGGCGCCAAATTTGTCAAAAAGACGTTTAATAGGGATAAAATTTCCATGTATAAAATCACTAACACATTAATGACATTTCCCTATCCATACTAGATTAATTTATTACATCGTTCACATTACATAACGTCACTCCGGAGACTGTGTGACAGTTTTGCAGCACTACTTCTGCTACGCCAGCTGTTATTTCTTGGTTACCCCGGACACTCGAGGACAAACTCAATTCCTTTGAGAAGGAACGGTAACTATTCAGGTCGTAGCGTTTTGGGATTCGCCATTTGAGATCAGCCCAACAGAAGATAATGTGTTGTCATCACACCCCAAAAAATGCTTTTCAAAACCAGAAGCAATCATGTGATACTTGTTCCCAGTACCTACGTTATTTAGGAGTCCGGAAATCATAGCGAGATGAAAAAGGCTTCCTAATTACGATCAGTGTGAGAAACCATTACCACCACTCGATCACTGTGCACAACCTTATGACCTTATGATGAGTTTAGGACTTCTTAGACCACGGTCACGCTGATGCGCCGCCTTCGTCGTCCTCCGTCTCCGAGTCGTCTCTAGTGCACTCAACCAATACCACCACTCGATCAGTGCACTCAACCAATGCCACAACTCGATCAGTACGCTCAACCAATTCCACCACTCGATAAGTGCACTCAACCAATACCACCACTCGATCAGTGCACTCAACCAATACCACCACTCGATCAGTGGACTCAACCAAAACCACCGCTCGATCAGTGTGCACAACAAATACCCCACTTGATCAGTGTGAGCAACCAATACCACCACTCAATCAGTGTGCTCAACCAATACCCCTACTTGATCAATGTGCAATACCAATACTCGATCAGTGTGAGTAACCAATACCACCACTCGATCAGTGTGCTCTACCAATACCCCCACTCAATCAGTGTGAGCAACCAATACCACTACTCGATCAGTGTGTACATCCAATACCACCCCTCGATCAGTGTGCACAACCAATACCACACCTCGCTCAGTGTGCAAAACCAATACCACTACTCGATCAGTGTGTACAGCCAATACCACCCCTCAATCAGTGTGCACAACCAATACCAACACTCGATCAGTGTGTATAGCCAATACCACCCCTCAATCAGTGTGCACAACCAATACCACACCTCGCTCAGTGTGCAAAACCAATACCACCACTTGATCAGTGTGCACAACCAAAACCTTCACTCGATCAGTGTGCGCAAGCCCTTCCAACCCTAGATCGGTGAGCGCATCCGATACCACTTCTCGATCGAAAATCTCTGCCCACATCTTAAATTTGTCTAAGCCTTCCTAGTTTAATTTTTTCAGGATACCTATCAAGTCGGGAAATTGAACATGAAGAGATTTGTAGCGCGTATCCAGGATACTTATATTGTGTCGGGATATTGTATATAGGGGCTGTTGAGGCGCGTATCCAGGATACTTATCGTGTCGGGGTATTGTACATAAGGGCTGTTGGGGCGCGTATCC